CTAATATATCTAAGAATTGTCCTGTGTTTGCTTTAGACTTAGGAACCCTTTGGGAAACCAGAAATTGAGAAAAGCACTGGGAAGTACCTGTTGCAGCTGGTAACTCATTAAAAATATTCTGTCATTCATTTGGGATCTAGTTTTGAGAGGTTTTTTTATGAAACAAAATTCCCTCCAGTGACAGCCTAAGAGTCCGACTCACCAGGCCCATGACAAGTTGCCTGTAACCTGGCCTGCCTTGAGTTTCTTTTCCCAATTTAAACTGAGAAGTCTTTGTTAACTGCCACCAACTGCTGCCTCACTATGCTCAGTAATTACCTGGCCTCTCCCTAGGCTGTTTAAGTAATGGAGACTTGATCCATGTCCTTATCTGGATTGACTAACGGAGCTGATATAGAAAGGTATGATGAAGCTGGCCATCAGGGAGTTTGATCATGAATAAATTTGTCAAATAACATCTTGCCCACGCCATGGGTTTCGCCTGCCAAGTCCTTCAGGATTTCTTTCTTGTCTTGGCTGCTCTAGGAAACATCCTGCGACCTTCCCTGTCAAAGGCCACCTTGTAGGAATCCCCTCGATGGAGCGAACAGAAAGGGGTTTTACTGGGGCGACCTTGTAGCAACCACACCTGCAAACAGGTGAAGAAAACGGAGTAGGTAGAGGTTGAACTACAGAAGGGCTATAAAAGTTCTCTCTACCATTGCTCTGGGCTGTTGAAGCTCCTGAATGGAATGTGGACATGTCCCCAAACCATCTCTCTGGGCTGTGGAGTTCCGGAATCAGCCATGGAATGTGCACATATCCCCAGACCATCGCTCCCGGCTGTGGAGCTGAGTCCTGCCCATGTGGACTACTCACTAAACTCGGGTGGGGCAGCTATCAGTAGCAGAGGGATGGATGGGCACACTGTCATCAGGCAACACCAGAGAAGCTGCAGTGTAGTCCCTCCATGCTGAAAGGGGACCAAGGTGACACACCATAGTATGTACTGCCATTGGTCCAATGAATGCTTTGGGGTCAGAGGTGCTTACTTTTTATGTGTTTGTGGTAAGGTCAGAGGACTTACTGGTCCCCACCTAGCCAATTAAACCAGGCTTGAGGGCCAGAGAGCTCCAGAGACCTGTCTGCCTTCATCTTCCCTGCTCTGTGGGATTATGTTTTTTGTTTTAACATGGGGTCTGAGATTGAGCTATGTTCTTATGCTTTTTTTTGATTAAAATTTTTAGCCAGGCGATGTGGTACACACCTTTAATTCCAGCACTTAGAGGCAGAGGCAGCCAGATCTGAGTTTGAGTCCAGCCTGGTCTATAGAAAGTGCTCTAGGACAGGCAGGGCTACATAGAGAAACCCTGTCTCGAACCCCCCTCCCCCAAATCCCCTGTTATTATTGTTTATATGTATCGTGTGTATATGCATGCGTATGTTTGTATATTTATGTGTTACAGCTCTCACCCATAAATCAGAAGACAACTACGTGGTTCCAGGGATCGAAGCTCTGTTGTCAGACATTGCTTTCTCCCACTGGAATGTCTTGCTAGCCTCATGCCCTTAAGCTTTTATGACGAGCACTTTACACACAGAGTTACCTATTCAGCCTCCAAGGTGCTCGCTTTTCAGTATGCACGTCATAAGGCAGTGTAACGGGTGTGTACACATCAGTCTGAGGCGGGGATCCAGTACCTAGTAAAGAACGGTACATCGTAAGTACCACACGGATGTTGAATGGGTGTCGGAAAGCCCTTTATCTGCTTCTAATCATTTTAGCGGGCATGGACTTCAATGATTCACTTAGTTTCACCCTGGGGTGGGGGAGTGTGTATTAGCTGGCATTGAAGTGAAATTCCTCCAGGACGTATTGTAGGCAAACTATGCTAAGGGGCTTTGTGACAGGCACAGAGAAGAAACACAGGTGAGCAGGGTAGGGACAGATGCCCTCGGGGCGTTACTCCCCTGCAGCTGCTCTGTTGTCCCGGAAGTGACTTTGAGGCTGGCATTTAGCACAGGCTTTCTTTTAGCTGCCACTGCTTCTGGCCATCCACAAGGTCAACTCCTCCTGTAGTCACACCGGAGTCGACAACAAAAAGGGCTGAAACACAGCAACCATCAACAGGAAATAAAACATTTTTATTGAGTATCCAGGTAATATGTTAAGTCATTTTTCTTTTAACAACAATCAGAAAACTACCAGGGGGGGTTCACTACACAAAGTGAAACAAAATTTAAATCACTTATCAAAAAATGAAGGGAAAATACAGCTAAAGGAGTTGGCTCGCGGGCCACGAGCCTTATGGCAGAAGAAAACACCCCAACATTTCTATGAGACACAGGGTAAACCCACACATAGGGACACTCAAGCAGGCAGTAAATATACACAAAGGCAACTAGGATCATTCTAGGGCGTCAGCGTCTAAGACTTCACACAGCTTTGTCAGAAAGGTACATGTGGCTTATCCGAGGATGGAACTTGGTCCTAAAGCAGGCCCAGTCACCGGGCTCATGAGAGATGATATAGTACCAACTAACTCTATGGTGACAATCCCACGTTGGCAGTGTTGCAAGAGAATGTGCCAGAAGTATTGTAGTGCAGGAGAGGATGTCCGCTCTGCAGCTGGGAGCTGCGTCTTTGGAAGTGTTTCCCCGTGTATAACTTAAATCGGGAGATGAGGAGATGAAATGTCAGTGTCTGGTGCTTAAGGTGTTGTTAAAAGTCAACTCCTTCTCTTTGGTAAGACTTGGTCCCTTACACAGGATCTCATTTGAGTCCCCTCCTGAAACTGCTATTTAATCTCACCTGTGAGTGTGCATCTCCTAACACCCATGTTTTTAGTTGTTAAAAAGTGCTGTTCACCCACAGGAAAGGATTTTCCCCTTGTCCTCCTTGTCTGTTCCATTTGGGAAGAGTCTGCTATGATGGGGATGAAAGGCAATGGATTCATTCCCCTCTTCTTTGATGAGGAAGGAATCACAATTGGGATTTGATTTCTGTGGTGTGTGTGTGTGTGTGTGTGTGTGTTTGAGGAACAGCCAACCCTGTGTTTAAAGTCTACCAACAGCCCTTTTTTTTGGGATTCTCTTGAGTTTTGTTCAAAACATGGAGCTAAATCCTAAAGATCAGACACGAGGCCATGCTTAGCATCCCTCCATCTTGTTTCAGTACCTGTGAAGACAGTCTCTCGCTTCAGAGCATTGCTATTCTCTGTGGCCTGGAGGTGAAAAACAGGTCACCATAGCAAGTGGGAGAAGAGACTAGAAGCAGTGTTAGGTAGCAGGCTCACCTTCCTGAAGTGGCTGTCTACCGAAGCGGAACAATACGGACTAGTGCACAAGGATGACAAAATGCTGTGTGTTCTTCCCACCCCCCGCTCTATGTATCTTTGCGTCCTATGCATAGCTGTCCAGTTCTGAATTGGTCCTTAGTAATGAGAACTGTTTGTGCTACACACACGTTGGGCAGTGCAGTAAGAGGGAACGGCAGTATCGTTACAATATCACTACGGAATTAAGTTGAGTGCTATCCACTGAGGAAACTACGTGTCTAAGCACACAGGGCAGTCACAGTGTTACACAGAGCAATCCTTAAGACTCTTATGGAATGACTAGTAGCTTCAGAATAGTGCTATTTACTACAGAGCAACATTGAAAACATTGAAAAACCACTCCTGCATCAAGCATCTAGTGTACATAAGAGGTTGCTTCAGTTCACTAGAACTTGCTCTTGCTTTTGTTTCTCCTTTAAAGGACAAATTAAAACTTAAGTAAAAAGAGCATATAAAAAGATCACTAGCTGTCTGTTTTGGCTTTAATCGAAGTGCATTCAGAACTATGGCTAATTGTTTGTTGTTTTTCATCTTTTGACGGGATTACAATACTGTCTGTTTACCACAAAGTTATTTTTTTGTGTGTAATAAGCACAGATTGCCGTGTTAAAAATATTCTGCATTCCTTCTCATCTGGTTTTGCGTAATAAAATATTTCGTTACAAAGTCTCACGTGCATACCTTTTGGAATCATCACTGGGGTGAAATCTGGGTCGGAAGTCACAGGTTGCACGTTTTATATAAATGTGGTAATGGAGAGCTACGATTTGCTGTTTAAATAGTCAGGCAATAGTTCACAAATGCTGACTTCTCTCAGCTCCTCCCCCACCCACCCTAACCCCAAACAAAGGCATGCACCACACATAACACACACATCCTCTCACACTTGCGTACGCACATACACACAGGAAACAGCCTGGCGGTGCGACTTTAGATGCAATCATCAGAACTCACTCCTGCTCATCGCTTCCCTGAATGGAAGCGTGAAGCCATGGTCTTAGCTTTGCAGAGACATACAGACAGATGCGACTCTGGGTTGTGGCTTTGCTTCCTTGAGGTCAGCCTGGATGCTGCTCAGGCCATGCTATTTGCCTGTGAAAGAATTCTACAAAATTGGGTTTGCCCACAGAAGGAGATATGGTGTGAGCGGATCTCGGTACTCCAATGATTCAAGAGAAAGCTCGGGTTTAAGTTGTCCTTTAAGATATCAGTTGAACTGTACTAGTGCCTTTCAAGTTGATATTGTTGCTGGAATGCAGACGATACTATATTTACCATATAATATATTATCAGCTCTCCTATATCTCAGTCGATTTACATAGTTTAAAATAGAACATCTTATTAAAAACATCTAGATATACACAGATTAGGAAACGCTTACAACATACAAATACACAAACTAGAAATAAATCTTTAGCATACTGGTATATACAACGGTGTGTGTGATACAATACATAATTTCAGTCATGCTCTATCTACACATCATATTGCTTAAAAGAAGATTTGGAGGGCAGTGGTATAATGAAGGGCGTGGGGGGCGCTCTACACTTAAATTTGTGCAAATCAAAAAACGGGATCTGAAGTACCACTGAATTGTGTGAGGAATGCATGGCTGGAAACGGAAAGGACCCACATTACTGAGGTATTTACAGATACTGGCTAAAGAGCACTATGTGGGCAAATGCAGGAAGGCTCCCCCGTCCCTTTACTTCTTGACAGCCAGCATGGCATCGACCTCCTCCTCCACCTGCAGAGTGTGCCACTGGGCGATGGGTCGCCGCGGGTTGGCCAGCATGTCTGACCAGTGTCGCAGCTCTGCGCCGGTGCTGTTGTAGCCCACGAAGACTTTGCCAATGGCGTCGTTCTTGCCAATCTTGTCATAGTCCAAAACAGTTACCACCACCTGCACTTTCTGAAAGAGGACACAAGAGATGCACAAGTGTCAGACAGCCCTAGAGACAAGGCCTGGGACACACACAGAGTTTCCCTGGGGGGCTGAGGGACGACGGAGAATCCATTCCAGGCTGAGGCTGGAAGCACTCGACTGGGAACTTCCGCCCAGTGTTAGATGTCCCAGCTGTCACAACTGTCACTTACTACCTTATTATCTTTCTCTGTGTGTGTGTGTGTGTGTGTGTGTGTGTGTGTGTGTGTGTGTGTGTGTGTGTGGTAGAGGGAGGGTCTCAGGTAACTCAGACTGGCTTCAAGCTCACTAAGTAGCTGAGGATGACTTTGAACTCCCGATCTCCCTGTCTCTACCCCACCCCCACAGGTGTTGGGATTACAGCTCTGTGTCATCATGCCTGGTGGTAGGCATAGTACATACGTACTAATTTTTATGTTTAATATTATCTTTATAACTTTACAGAAGAAATAATTCAGTTACTTCTCTCAGTACATCCTATTAACAACTCCATTGCACAGAGAAAAGTACCGGAAGCTGACAGGGGTTTTGTAACCCGTCTGAGATCACAAAGGGAATGAGGGAGTTGGGCTCGAGACTCTATGCTACAAACCAACCATGGAAGACTGTGTCACTGCTACACAGGTCTCATCCACGAGGGCTCTGCCATTCTCTTTTGCTGGTGCCAATGTTCTTTGCTATGGTTTTTCCAAGACAGGGTTTCTCTGTGTAGCTGTCCTGGATGTCCTGGAACTCGCTCTGTAGACCAGGCTGGCCTGGAACTCACAGAGATCCGCTTGCCTTTGCCTCTCGAGGGCTGGGATTAAAGCCATGTGCTACCACAGCCCAGCATTGCTCTTATTCTCAATAAGACTTTCTGAGTAATCATTATGATGTCATCTCAAGAGGTGACAGCCAGCATTTTATGTAAAACTAAAAGCATTTGGCCTAGTCATGTAATTGTGACCATGAACAGTGAGTGACAATACAGTAGAAATCTTTTTAAAAAGGAACGAAATAAAATATGCTTTTCTCCTGAGTAAGATTCTCTTAATGAACATGGATCAGTAACTACAGTGTATCTGGCATTGACATTAAATGGATGCCACTTTAGGACACACATGACTTCCCTGGGACTCTATCAGATTGCGAGGGTTTATTTAATAACTCCCTCTATTGGACTGGCTGAATCAATGAAACCAAATTCATATTATTACAGCACAGAAGACATACTCTCTAAAGAGCAGCTCAGTTCTATTCCCCAGTCAATGAATTTGCTTAGCCAGAATCTGTGATGGCTCTGATTTAGACAATGGATATGAAGATAAAGGATTAAGATAAAGTAGCTATGTTAATTTGTGTTCAGCGTTAAAGGGAAGAAAAATATAGTGATAAAAACCAGGCCCAAATGAAGACCCACTGAGTTCCAGAACTGGTGAGCTTCGATTCTCAGGATACAGGCACCCTGCTTGTGAGATGCCACTGAGATATGTTTTTCCAATGGCAAAAACAGCTACTACTTTTTTTTTTCTTTCTCTGAATTCTGTGTGTTTTTTATTTCACGTATCTCCATCTCATTCATTTCCCTGTCCCTTTGCATCCACCCTGCACCCCCTCCCCCAAGTAAAGCAAAATTTACAACTACTGCCTTTTTAAAAGGCAATTTTCTTATTACATTTATCTATTCCCTGTGTGTGTGTGTGTGTGTGTGTGTGTGTGTGTGTGTGTGTGTGTGTGTGTGTGCTGGCATGTGCACTGCACTGCATATATGGAGAGGACAACTTGCAAGAGATGGTTCCCCCCTCCCATCACATGGGTCCTGAACATCAATCCCAGATTACCATGCTTGGCAGAGAGTGTTCTTTATCCACTTAGCCATCTCACAGGGCCCTCAAATCACTTTTGAATGTGAAATTTAGAAGGCAAAATGTAGCGCCATCTTCTGTGTGCAGATTTGCCATGATGCCAGTATTAAGAAAATTCTCTTCCTAGGCTGGGGATATGGCTCAGCAGTAGTTGGTTCATCACCCAGCACCACAGATAAATAAAATAAACGAATGACCTATTTACTAGGTAGTGTTTGGTAGCAAGGGGAAGATTGTATTTGTGGCCTCGATTCTTAGATCATCTTGTCCCAAGCAAATGCTCTGTGATACAGTCGTCATGCAGGGACCAGCATGGGGACATCTAGTGGAAACATAATGAGTGTTTTCGGAGTTAGGACAGACTTGATTATGCTACCGAGGAATCAATTGATTAGGACTCCCAATAGCTCTATTATTCTGCAGTTGCCCTGTGTGGTTATTTCTGCAGTTTTTGATGGTGGTGACCAAGATTTTTTTTTTTTTTGCATGTTTTCAGAAATTAGCATAATTTGCTTCCATCACAAAATGTTTCATGGGGATTGAGAAAGACAGAAGACAGGCCCATAATCTTATAATCTCCTTTGTTAGCAGTTAAGACACTGTGGTCATTAGGGCAGTGATTCTCAACCTGTGGGTCATAACCTTATGGGGGGGTCAAACAACCCTTTCACAGGTGTTGCCTAAGATGATTAAAAAACAGAGATATTTACATGTATGATTCATAACAGTAGCAAAGTGACAGGGAGCAGAAACAAAAATTGTTTTATGGTTGGGGGGGAGTCACAACACGAGGAACTGTGTTAAAGCATAAGGAAGGCCGAGAACCATTGACTTGGAGAAAACAGCATTCTTGGATTTAAAAAAAAAAAGGAAGAAAAACCCAGTCTGTAGGAGCGGTGAAGGCAGGTGACACCAGTAACCAGTGTAGGCCTGCTATTCCTCGGCCCAGTCTGACGCATGCCAGGCTCAGGCCGTCTCTCCTCTGAAGGGCCACCCCAGGATCACAGCTTCTGTTTTGTTTCTCATATGCCTTCCTCTCAATATATTTGTGCTTCCCGAAATTCAGAGGTGAAATACGTTTTTATAGGAATGGGACTGTAGTCCAAAGGAGTACGCTTATAAGGTTTTTTTTCATCTTAATACCTTGCTCTGTATTGTCGTGGAATTAGAAACAAAATGCCTGGAGGTGTTAGTTTCCGTAGGGATAAGGTCTCGGAACTCAGAAAGGTCACTGAGCAGATAACTGGGAAATAAATTCTGATAGAAAATTGATGTTCCAAGCAAGCGTTTGCCAGAAGGGCCAAAGTGCTCACGGTTTAGACTACTGACTGAGTGACTGCATACCATTTTCTATCATGTGGAAATGTATGTGAGCTAGCTTATCTGCAAACCACGGGCTAATGTTAGAAGGTGAGGGGCTGGTTATTTTGCTCTTCAGAAGCGGGTTGCTTATTGTAGCCTGGGAGCAAATAGGCAAGTTCATTCTCTCTTGGCTTTTGGATCCCGTAGGCAGACTTATTGACAAAGCTAAGCGGTTCTGTTGGTTTTCTATTTTCCACCTTATTTCCGCTGGGCAGAAGGCAGCTAGCCAGTCCAGTTGATGCAACAGCATCTCTCATGCTGTGTAGCTTTATTATGTCCCGGCTGGTGGACGGAGTTCAGGCATCAAATGTACATGGGGCAGTTTTAATGAAGGCGCGGGCACTGATGACTCGCGGGGGTCTTTGCTTTGTGGCTGACATGATCTGAAGGCATGAAATTGAATGGAAGGACAAACGCGTGTCTGACATTACCTGGATCTGCTCGAAAGGAACTTCGAAGCTGAAGGACTCGTTGTAGTAGGGGTTAAGCGTGTTCTTCTTAATGGTTGTCTTCTTCTTCTTCAGCCTCTTGCCATTCTGCATGAGATGAATCTTCACATAAGGATCTGAAAAACGGGGGAGTTTTAGGAGATCAGATGCGTGTTTTGCTTACAGTATTTTATTACATTATTTTGTGAGTGTGTGTGTGTGGAATATTTAAACTATGTAAAGCTGTGTTACATTTGTTTATGCTTTGGAAAGTTACTCAACCTGCATAAAGGTGTGTTACATTTGTTTATGCTGCATTTGTTTAACGACGTAAGGATGTGCATGGGTTTAATTACGTAAAGATGTGCTGCCTGCCTCAGGCACCTGATTGGTCTAATAAAAAGTTGAATAGCCAGGAGCTAGGCAGAAGAGGGATGGAAGAGGCTGGCAGGCAAAGAGAATAAACAGGAGGATGAATTTAGGCTCTAAAGAAGGGGAAGGAGAGAAGGAGGAGAGGGAGAAAGAGAGGGATGTGCCTGGAGCCAGAAGCCAGGCAGCCACCAGTCAGACACAGAGCAGCAGGGAGAGTAAGATGGACAGAAGTAAGAAAGGTAATAAACCCCGAGGCAAAAGGTACATAAAGAGAAACAGGTTAATTTAAATTAAAAGAGCTAGCCAGAGATGAGCCTAACCTAGGCGGAGCATTCAAAACTCAGGGTAAGTCAGTCTCAGTGTTGGCCTAAAGGAAAAAGCCACATTTTGTGTGTATGATTGTGGGGTGCATGCCACAATGCGCGCATGGAGACCAAAGGACACTTTGTGGGAGTCTGTCCCCTACCACATGGGGTCCTTGGGATCAAACTCAGGTCATCAGGTTTGGCAGCGGGTACCTTTACCATCTGAGCCTGCCAGAGTCACATGTTTTAGATCAGAGTTAGCTGAGAAAAGGACGAAGCCCCAACAGGGGAGTGATTGCATAGCATTTATTTAATACGTTGTAAAATGGCGAGGACCTTTCACTGAGAGGTTTCAAGCAAGCTCTGCGGCAGGCTTATTGCCTATGCTGGCTGAACTTCCCACTCACACTGAAAGGGAAGGGCTGTGGTATGCTGGGAAACCACTTCTTGGGGTGGGGGAGGGATGTCCTTGACCCGTAGCATTTGCAGATCTGGGTGGTGTAAGTGTGCTCACCATGGCCGGCTTGAAGCCACAAACAGTTTAACAACTGGCATGTAAAGTTTCTGAGAACTTAACAGTTGGGTTTTATGAGCTGGCAGAAGGCTTAGCTGTTGCTTGCTACTCGACAGGAATAAAGCTTGGCAGATGGAGGGGACAAAGGGTCCACTTCATTCATTTATTTATTCACACAGCCAACGCTGGTTGTGTGGCAAAGATGGGTTAGGACCTTTTATTACTATCAGTAATAAGTTGATGCCGATCAGTAGATAGAAGCAACACTGAACACAACAGATCTCTGTCTTAGTGATGGGATCTCAGACTTTCCGGGCAATAGTAAGCTTTTAGAGAAAGGGGATTTGTGTGAAATTAGAAGTTGATGAGCATGGAACAAGGAGCCGAGGCAAGATTGACGGAAAACAGCAGCAAGGGCAGAGTACATGATAAAGTCGGAACACTGCTCGGGAGGCCTCTGCGGAGGGTGCACTGGACCTGAGATGGGAGGGGGGAGGAACAGAACCCAACACTTGCCCGTACTCAGCTCTCTGTTATACTGACCATTCATCTTCACTGCAACAGTCTGACACATAATAAAGGTTTTTTAGGGGAGGCACTTGTGCATGTTACCTCCCACAGTCACTTTTTTTTTTTTTTTTTTTTTTTTTTTTTGGTCAAATGAACAAGGAGAATGTATTTAGGGCTTCGCCGTGCGGGTTTTCTCGGTCCTGTGGTCTGCCGCCCCAAAGCTTACATGCTTAGACATAAGTAGTTTGGGGATTTCCTTTCTCAGTGCTGCACCCAGGCAAGGCTCATTTTTTGTGACCCTGCTGTCTGGAGTCTTACTTAGACTGTCTCTCCATTTTCTCCAGCCTCCTGGACTTTCTGCTCCAGACTGTTCCCAAGTGTCCTCTGCCTCCCCTTCCCACACTGAGGTTTTGTCCTGAATTCTGACCTCTCTGCAGGTGGCCCTAACCCCTCCTTTATCTCACCAGAGACTGTAAGGAGGCAAAGCCTTGATCTTATTTCCCTGGCTCCTTGCTGAGATCCCTAAATAGGAAGATTTAGTGTGGTGAGTCACACCTCTGCTTTGAGGATAGACATGCAGATTTTTGAAAGCAAAGAGCACCGCTCTCCTGCAAAGCAGGCCTCTGTATGATTTAGTCTGTGCTGTTTTAAGGGTCATTGGAAAAAGCAAGTCCTTGTAAACTCCCAGTGTCACGGTGGCATCATAGTCCTGCTGATTGATTGGGTCCTAAGATCCAGTGCTATGGAAATGATACAATAGGCTGTAATGGGACTTAATAATGTGGCTTTTCTTGAGTTCTACAGCTAGACTCTAGTTCTACAGCTGGACACAGGGTGTTGGGACATCCCTTGGGGTTTGGGAAGCGTGTAAATAGTGTGGGGAAATACGCAAGCAATGAAACTGGACTCCCCCCCCCCCCCCCCCCCCGCCAAGGCACTCTGTGTCCCTGCAGTCCTCCAGTTCCCAGCAGCAAGCACTCATGGACATCTTCCTCATCTGAATACTGACAACCCTTCTTCAGCAACATCTAATAATCGCCTGCCGCCACCCAAGTAGGCACAGGCCTGAGAGACATGGCATGCCGTTTGTTTAATTTCTATTTTAAAATACTAGTCTATTTCTCTTAAGGCTTGGGTAGGAAGGAAGGCCTTTTTCTCTGGTCTCTGGTTTCTAATGATCTTTGGCTGCAATTTAAACAAAACCGAGAGGCTGGAGATGAGCATCAGGGAACACTGGTAATCTGAATCCTATTCCTAGAGCCCATAGAAAGCCCTTTTAATACGCCAAATTAAAGCTTGTGTGCCTGATGATCACAATTATGGTAGGCAGAATAATACCTCCTCCAAAGACGTGACATTCTAATCTTGAGAACTGTAAATACACTTCATGGCAAATGTGCTTAAAGCAAGAACATTCAAATGAGGCCAGCCTGGTGTTTCCAGAAGGGAAACTTTTAAGGACTTTTCATAAGTCCTTAAAAATGCTGAGAACTTTTCCTGGTTATGATCAGAAAGAAAAGGAATAAAAGAAGAAGGGTGGGCATAGGCCAGTGTGCTGGGTTATTTTATTTATATTTGAGACAGGCTAGCCTGGAACTCACTCCATAGCTCAGGCTGGCCTTCAACTTCTGCCACAGTCTCTCAAGTGTTCGCATTACAAGAATACACTATCATGCCTTGCTTTGAAGAAAGAAGGGACCACAGCTCAGGTATGTGAGCGACTGCTAGAAGGAAAAATTTAGAAATGACACAAAAACCAAACAGGGACAAGGAGTGTCTTTTTCTCTAGAGCCTCCAAGAAGGACAACCCTGCCCACGGGTGGGCTTGAGCCCATTGAGGGTTGTGTTAAACTTCTTTGTTAATATTTTACACTGGGCCATAGAAATTGCAAATACAGTGGCAGTGACTGTACATGCCTTTAATCCTAGCACTCAGGAGGCAGAGGCAGGCGGGTCTCTGTGAGTTTGCGGCCAGCCTGTTCGAGACCAGAGCTAGTTATAGGACAGCCAAGGTTACACAAAGAAATCTTGTTTTGTCTCAAAAAAACAAAATATCAAGAAGAAATTGTATTTATTTATCATGTGGAATATGACTTTTTAAATGCTTGTACATTGTGGAATGGCTAAACTGGGCTAACAAACAGGCTTTGTTCACATACTTTTCATGATGAGAACACTTGCTAAGTACTGTCTTGGAGATTTTCAAGAATGCTTACTTACTACAGTTACCACATCATACAGCAGGTCTATTCTACTTATTTTTCCTCCTCTCTAAATGAGTATGAGGTTTCTCTATACAACTATACAAAAATACATGTGTGTTGTTTCAAGACATGGACTTGGTGATCATTTTTTTTTCATAGGGGTAACAGAAAAGTAATAAAGCAACCATCTCTTGAAGAGTTTCTGTTTTTATCAAACAAGGTATGAGGATAAGAGTCAAGGTGCTTTTAAGGTAGGTGTGTGTGTGTTTATCGAGGGTTTTAGGCATGCCAGATAAGCACCCTGAGTGGCTTCTCCAATCTTCAAGAAACTGATCTTTTGAAAAAGGCTGATGTTCTCTCCATTCTCCTAAGTGTGGTTATGCTGATCTTCAAATAGAAAGAAAGCCTTAAAAAGGTCGAGTTCTTTTAACAAAAATAAAGCAAAAGAACACCGAGCATGCCAACCAAAAATCACAGTGATATCTGTACTTTTTAGGCTCTATGGTAAAACTATTGAAACTGGCTAAAATATGAGCTGAGAATGGTTTTAAAAGGCTTAAACCGTTAATAAGACATTAAGACTTGAAGTGTAATTTATGTTTTCCATAAACCTATTCCATCCATCCACCCATCCATCCATCCTTTAAAATTATATCATTTCATTTTATACTACAATAATCCCTGTGAGGAAATGCCTCAGGATGTCTGATTTCTTTGCCCTCAAGAATCCCTCTAAATTTGCTGCCTTTGTGGTATGCCTGGCAGAAAGTTGAGTATAGTGTTGATAAGTACAGACGCTGAAACTAGACTAACTTGGATCTTGGCCCTGCCCCTCACAGCTGTGTGGTCTTACAGAAGGTACTGAGCATTTTTGGTGTCTTGTTTCCCCCAACTGCAGACTGGGGGACATGATAATAGCTAATCATAGAGTTACAGGATCAAACACCCAGAAAATGTTTTAACATCAGGCTGGCACATATTATTGTTGATGGGTTGGGGCAAGTGACAGCTAAGGCAGGTTTCTATGACCCAAACTCACCCCTAGCTCACTCTACTGACCTGGTGCCCATACCCAGCAAGCAGGAAAAAGTCTCATTTGCTGCAGAAGTGGGATTGTCAGGTCCAAAGCCGCCCTTCCCCCAAAATGGCAGGGCTGTTGACATTGTCCTACACAGAAGGACTCTGACCGGGTAAGCAGCATTGCTACCAGGTAAACAAGCCTACAGGTTTCT